GGCCGCTGTGGCCGGCGTGCTGCAGCCAGCGCACCGCGCTGATCCAAAGCCAGGAGTCAGTTGCTTCTCCTGGTCTCCCATTGGGTGCAGGGCCCAAGCACTTGGGCCATCCTCCACTGCACTCCCGGGCCACAGCAGAGAGCTGGCCTGGAAGAGGGGCAACCGGGACAGAATCCGGCGCCCCGACCGGGACTAGAACCCGGGGTGCTGGCACCGCAGGGGGAGGATTAGCCTAGTGAGCCGCGGCGCCAGCCTCAGCTCCACTTCTGATTTCAGCCTCCTGCTCATGCACACCCTGGGAGGCAGCAGGTGACGGCTCAAGTACTTGGGTCCCTGCCACTCAATTGGGAGACCCAGCTTGAAACTGGGATTCCTAGCTTCATCCTGGCCCAGCACTGGTTGTTGCAGGCATTTGGGGAGTGAACCAGCGGATGGAAGACCTCTCTCTCTCTCTGCCTCTCCTTCTCCTCTCTGTGTAACTCTGACTTTCAAGTAAATAAATAAATCTTAAAAAAAAAAAAAAGAAATTTTAATCACTTATATATTAGCTCTTGGATGCATTGTTCTGGCTTTTTTGTTTGTTTGTTTCACTCTTTTCTCTTTCTGTTTCAGCTTGAGTAGTTTCCTGTTGCCCTGTCTGCAAGTTCACTGATTTTTTTTTTTTAAGATTTTATTTATTTATTTGAGAGGTAGAGTTTCAGACAGTGAGAGGGAGAGACAGAAAGGTTTTCCTTCCATTGGTTCGCTCCCCACATGGCCACAACGGCCGGAGCTGAACCAATCTGAAGCCAGGAGCCAGGAGCTTCTTCCAGGTCTCCCACGTGGGTGCAGGGGCCCAAGGACTTGGGTCATCTTCTACTGCTTTCCCAGGCCGTAGCAGAGAGCTGGACTGGAAGAGGAGCAGCCGGGATTGGAACCGGTGCCCATATGGGATGCCGGCGCTGTAGGCAGAGGATTAACCTAGTGCGCCACCGCACCAACCCCCTTCACTGGTTCCTTTCTCAGCTGTACAGAGTTCACTGAAGAGCCTGTTGGGGCAGTCCTCAAATCTGGTATATGGAGGTGGTGGGATTTTTCTAGCATTGCCATGTGACTCTGACTCTCTCTCTTTCTCCCTCCCTCTCTCATAGTCTCTTCTCTGCTAAAATCCCCTTCTCTTCATTCACGTTGTCTACATTTTCCTCAAGAGCCTTCCACAAACCGGCTGCAGGTGTCTGAAACTCCGTCGGGTAGCTGCAGCCCTGGTCCTGCTCACGGCTGTGTCCTCGCAGTGGGGTTCCAGTTGCTCCGTGGATGTGGTGTGAAGGGTAGGGTTCGTGGGTCTGAGCCACTCTGGCCAGGAGTGCAGGCCGGTCGGGTTCTGCTCTGTGATCCCCTCAGTGTCTGTGGCTCCCACGGGTTCTGTGCTCTCATGCAGGCCTCCTGTGAACATGGTGGCTGAGCTCACCCTGGCACGGGGACTTTGCCTTCTGCCTGCTGCACAAGTGAGCCCGGCCTGGACCCCCTTCCTCCTGCTGCACAAGTGAGCCCGGCCTGGACCCCACCTCTCCTTGGAGGCCCTTGTCCTTGCTTGGAATTCACACTGATTGGTTGCTCTGCGACCTCAGCTCTCCAATGGGTTTGACAAGCATTATGATCTTTGTAGAATACTCATTTTTTTTCAAAATTGTTGTTAGTGTGGTAATGATACCCTTCTCAGACTTTTTGTCCCAGATGGGAGCCAGAAGTCTCTGGCCATCTGCTTTCCACCTCCTTTGTCCACCCACCCCTGACCCGCCTCTTTCTGGGTGACACCCTTTCCAGTTAGCCCCTTAAATGATTTTCGGCTTGGGTGTTCTCCCTGCTCCCTCCACCTCTTCTTGTGGCAAATATCTAGCACAAAAAGGGGTGGAAGTTGCTGACAGTTCAGCTTCTTGGGCTCCAAGTAATCCATGGGGTCCTATTTCCAGGAACAAGCCTGCAAATGAGGGAGATGGCTGTGGGAACTGAGCTCCCGTCTGTCACACGCATGCGTCGGTCTCATTCTATGCTGGAAAATGGGACCAAGTGGCTACTACTGAGTGACATACTTCTTGGAAAGTGAAAATTGAGGCCAGCATTATGGCATAGTGGGTAAAGCTACAACCAGCGACCCCAGCATCCCATATGGGCACTGGTTCAAGTCCCGACTGCTCCAGTTCTGATCCAGCTCCCTGCTAATATGCCTGAGAAGGCAGAAGAAGATGGCCCAAGTGCCTGCACCCATGTGGGAGACCTGGAAGAAGCTCCTGGCTTTGGCCTGACCCAACCCCAGCCGATGCGGCCATCTAGGGAGTGAACCAGTGGAGGGAAGACCTCTCCCCACCCCCCACCGTAACTCTGCCTTTCAAATAAATGAATCAATATTTTTTTAAACAGGTAAAAACTCATCAAGAGAGACAGGCTGGGAATAGTGGTTCCCTGCAGTCTCTGGAGCAGGCAGCCTACATTCAGTGCCAGCTCTAGGGCCTTCACCTCTGTGCACCTCAGTGCCTGCATCTGTACAATGGAAATAGTAACAGTCCGTACCCCGTGGGACTGTCCAGAGTAATACACGTACAGCGCATGACATTACCGCTGGTACACGGTAAACTCTGTGGACGCGTGAACACTGCAGGTTCACTCCCTGCAGTGTCAGAAAAGCGTGGAACAGTTCTCTCTCCACCCATCAGATCAGCTAATGTCTGCTGAGTGTCTCCAAGGGGCCCGGGTCCTGCCGTAAGCACTTATACGGGTTGTGTCATACAGACCAGGGGTTAATTATTCCCATTTAATGGCCTAGATCAGGGAGGAGAGAAGGTGTTTACCCAGCTGGCTAAAGGCAGCAGCAGGTTTCCAACCCCAGGGAGACCTGTGGACTGCAACGCCTTAACCACCTCGCTTGTTGCTTCCCACAAACTGGTTTCCACTCTCATAAACCGGTGGGCGGGCCGCTTGCTGTATTTATCTCACTGGGTTGCGATGGGATCCACCTAACGCAAGAGACAGCTGTGGGTGTTTGCAGGGTGCTGGTCCAGGACTTTCCACACCTCCACCCTCTGCTGATGAACTCAGTTCTGCCAGACTCAGCTCGGCAGCACCGGGATTGTATTCTGACAACGAAGGGATCCGAGCAGGGGTGGCCCAGCGGGCCTGTGTTCTGAAACGGGAACCGGCTGTAGGGTGGGGGGACCGGCCCGGCCCTGCCAGAGTGAGTACGGAAAAGCCAGGCAGAAAGAAGAGACTGTGGCGGAAACGGAGGGGCACGGCGGGCTGGAAAGATCCTTAGGAAAGCGAATGGACAGGAAATGGAGGTGTGTGTTAATGTGGGCGGCAAGGAAAGGGAGTTGCCAAGGACGACGCCCAGTTCCTGGCTGGCTCCCGGATGTTTGTTGAATGAATTATCGAGTGACCGCAGGGCAGAAGCATCTGGGGCTGACACCCGTCCCCAGCTGCTGGTGCCCCGCTGCTTCCGGAGCTGAGACGACGAGGGGATGGGCGGGAAAGGAGGAGGAGAATGGGCATGGTGTCGTGGTCCAGGGGATGCTAGACTGGGCACTGCCAGCCCAGCTCCGACCTAGGAGGCGCTGCGAACGGGACAGGCGTTGCTCCTCGGCGGGCAGCCTGCCTCGGCGTCTCCGCCCTAGCCGGGAGGGATGGGCAGCGCCCCTCTTAGCACCATGGGGTTGGCTCCTCGCCGGCGTCCAGGGGCGCGGCGCAGCGGCCCACCCCTCCGGCGCCCATCCCGCCCAGTGCGCTGGTAGGCTGGGCGGCGGCTGTCCAGTCCAGAGCCAGGCATCGGGAGAGCAGCGGGGGTGAGTCCCGGGGTCGGGGGTCGCCTGCTGAAATGCACCTGACCGGCTGGGCCGCACCGGGCAGGGCGCCCCTCCGCCGCTCCGGTGGGTCGCACCCTCCCTTCCCCAGCGTGCACCTTCTCGACAAATGCGCGGGTTAAGTGTGGCAAGTGTGACCAAGGGTGCGGCGAGTCAGGGCGCGTGGGCGCCGCCGGGAGTGGGAGAGCAGCAAGTGTGCGTGGGCAGGGCCGGCGCGTGTGCCCGCCGCGGGTCTGCGCGGGGCGGGGGTGCCGCAAGTGTGCAGCGGAGAGGCGGAGATGAGCGCACGGGCGTCGGCGGCGAGGGCGGAGTGCCGAGGAGTCCCGCGGGTTGCAGGGAAGCAGGATGCGTGCGGGTAACTTTTTGCTCGCCCTGGAAGTAGGAGCAGTCGCGCTCCAAAGGGGCTGCCTCCGACCGCTGGGCGAAGAGCGAGCGAGCGCGCCCGCCGCCGCCCCTCCCCCACTTCCGCCTCCCGCCTCTTCCTCGTTCCCGGCTCCCAGGGCCCGTCGGTCCCGGGGGAGACCCGGAGGCGCAGCCCCACCCCGGCCGGCGCGGCTCGCTCCCACGCCCCCGCCGCCGCCTCGCCGGAGCGGACAGACTGAGTCGGCGGGGGCGCCGGGCGCGGCAGGTAGGGGCTCGGGCGGCGGTGGGCGCAGGTGCCGCGGGGGACGGCGGCGGGGACGAGAGCGAGGGTGGACTGGCCGGGAGGGGCAGCGCTCCCTTCCCCTCCCCCCCGGCGCGGCGCGTCCCTTTTTAGGGAATTCTTTGCTTCTTGCCCACTGCGGGTGGGGCTGAGACAGGGCGCTCTCGCTGGCTCCTGCCCGGACCTCGGGCAGCCTCCGGCCCCTCACCCCCAAACCTTTCCTCCCGGCTTCTGCAAGCACCTATGGTCGCGTAAACAGTGCCTTCATCTGCTCCTGGTTCCGCGGTCCCCAGAGAGCAGCCCCTTCACTCTGGCGAGACCCCGGGGGTTAGGAGAAGGGGGAAAGAGAGGGGTCGTCCGGCAGCCCCCGGTCCCCGGCCGCTCCCCCGCCCTCGACCTGTCCTCCCCCGCCCCGCTGCGGGAGCGGACGGCCCCCCGGGGCCCTGGGTATTTTTAGCGTGATGACCTGGGCGGCAGCTCCCGGAGCCTTTCCCTGGAATCGGCGTCAGCGCCTCCCTCCTCCGCGGCCAGCCCGCGGTCGCACAGTCTCCCCACGCTTCCTCGGCCCTGCCGGGCGCACTTGGCTTGGCTTCCCCTTGAGCTGCCCCAGCGCCCGTGGGGCTGGCCAGGGTCCCGGACAGGCTGGGCCCTGTCCCAGGGCAGAGTGAAGACTGCTTGGGAGGATGAGGGTCCGGTCCTCAGGACAGAAACTCCCCTGCCCCTGGTGATGGCCGGAGCAGAATGCCAGGGACGGGAGTAAAGACGCCGGCACGGGCTCTCGAAAGGCCTCAGCCCTGGGGTCAGGAAGCCCGGCCGGCGCTGGACCCGGGACCCACCCTTCTGCTGTCTACTCACTGACCAGTAGGGAGATAAGACCGTGGGGTGGGGGGTGGGGGGAGAGGCAGCTGGAAGCAGCAAAGGAGCTGTTGGAGTGGAGAGAAAAAGATGGTAGCCCCGGAATGGCCACCTTCACGGGGGTGCCTTGTGCCATCTTCAGATGGGCAGAGCCAAGTCTGGAAGTCGGGGCTGTGAGTTCAGGGAAAGGGTTTGGAAAGGATGGTGGGGGTGGGGTGTGGAGGGAGAAGGATGGGGAGGAATGGAGTTGCAGCACGGGAGGGGGAGGACCCTCCACCCCCGCACTGCCCTGTCCGCCTCCCCCACCTGCTGAGACCAGTTGGTCCATTAAGTGGAGAAGGAGCTCCGCCCCTTTTGGGCTGGGCCAGCCCCTGGAGCCCCGCTCTGAAGGGCACCACGCTGTGTGCTGGCCCTTGGCTGCGCTCCCTGAATACAGAGGACCTCTTGCCGTGCCTGGAGCTGGCATCCCCTTTGTGGGGCCCGGACAAGCCCCGCCCCCCGCCTGATACTTAGGAGGATGGACTTAGTTTCAGGGAAGGAGAAGGAGGCGGCCAAGGCCAGAAGTGCCCAGGCTGGCACCAGAGGCCCCCACGGCTGGGGATGCTGGCTGCAGAGGGCCCTGCTCTGCCAGCCCGAGCCCGGCTGTGCCCCCTCCCAGCCTCGCCGCCACACCTCCTCACCTTGCTCCTTTTCCCTGCAGTTGCTGACATGGACCCAAATCCGCGGGCGGCCCTGGAGCGCCAGCAGCTCCGCCTGCGGGAGCGGCAGAAATTCTTCGAGGACATCTTACAGCCGGAGACAGAGTTTGTCTTCCCTCTGTCCCACCTGCATCTCGAGTCCCAGAGACGTAAGTTGCAAGTCCTGAGGACAGATAGAGGCTCGAGTTGCACCAAGAAGGCGGTGTGTGGGTTCTGAGTCCTGGGGGACCCCTCCCCTCTTGTTTCCTTGGCCTTCGAACCCTCCACCTTGGGGCCTGACCTGACTGTCCCGTTCGCTTCCGCTGGGTCCTCCCCTCCTGACGCGCCCCGTCCCGGTCTGCAGCCCCCATAGGCAGTATCTCATCCATGGAAGTGAACGTGGACACACTGGAGCAAGTGGAACTCATCGACCTTGGCGATCAGGACGGAGCAGACGTGTTCTTGCCTTGTGAAGACCCTCCGCCGACCCCCCAAACGGCAGGTATGGCTCCTGCTTCGGGGCCGTGGGCACCAGTCTGCCGGAGCCAGATGTCAGGCTCTGGGCTGGGGAGGATTCCAAGTAAGGGGCTGGAAGTGACTGTTTCCGCCAAAGCACGGCTGCTTATTCTGCTTTTAGGGAAGTTGACCCTGAGGGGAACTGGGTTACAGATGCCCCATCAGGACTGGAGGAATGGCCGACCTCTGCAGCCTTTTTAATTTTATGTTTGTGAGTTTAACATAATTACTGTAATTAAGCTAATATATAATTTTTGTACTCGACAACTTAAGCAATTTTAGTCATCACAATATTTACAGAACAGGAATCTGGGTTCCTAAGACTTCGCTAAGGTTCCTAGTACTTGTTCCTAAGTACTTTACATATCACGTCAGTGCTTACGGTGTCTCATCAGAGCGGGTGCTAATCCCCATTTTATTCTATTTTTTTTAAGATTTCTTTTTATTTGAAAGTCAGAGTTACACAGAGAGAGAAGGAGAGGCAGAAAGAGAGAGAGAGGGGTCTTCTATCCGATGGTTCACTCCCCAGTTGGCCACAATGACTGGAGCTGCACCGATCTGAAGCCAGGAACCAGAGACTTCTTCTGGGTCTCCATGTGGGTGCAGGGGCCCAAGCACTTGGGCCGTCTTCTACTGCTTTCCCAGGCCATAGCAGAGAGCTGGATCAGAAGTGGAGCTGCTGGGACTTGAACCGGCGCCCATATGGGATGCCAGCACTGCAGGCCGTGGCTTTGCCTGCTGTGCCACAGCACTGGCCCCATTTTATTCTACTTTTTAAATTAATTAATTAATTTATTTGCGAGGCAAACAGACAGAGTGAGCTCCCATCTGCTTGATGGTTCACTCCCTGAATGCCCTCAACAGCAGAAGCCGGGAGCTGGAACTCAAACCAAGTCTCCCATGTGGGTGGCAGGAGCCCAGTTATTTCAGCCATCACTACTACCTGCCAGGATTTTCATGAGCAAGAAGCTGGAATTCCCTTTTTTTATTTTTATTTACTTATTTTTTTAGATTGATTTCTTTGAAGGGCAGAGTTGCAAAGAGAGAGAGCAGAGGCAGAACAACAGTGGTTCACTCCCGGAACGGACGCCACAACCAGGGCTGGACCATCTGGAAGCCAGGAAGCCAGGCGCTTCCTCCAGGTCTCCCACGTGGGTGCAGGGGCCCAAGCACTTGGCCGCCTTCCGCTGCTTTCCCAGGCACGTTAGCAGGGAATCGAATTGGAAGTGGAGCAGCCGGGACTCAAACTGGCGCCCATATGAGATCCTGATGCTGCAGGGAGCAGCTAACCTGCTACGCCGCAGCACCAGCTCCACTAATCCCTACTTTATAAAGAGGGAAATTAGGCTCAGAGAGGTTGTCACACCGCCACCAAATGGAAAAGCCGGGTTACAAACAGTCTGACTGCAAAGCCCACGTGCTTCCCTTGTAAGATAGACACTCCTTATTTAAATACTTACAATGCCAGACATCTTATGAGCATTTGTAGATTTTATCATCAAGACCCTTGGGGAGGCCGGCGCTGCGGCTCACTAGGCTAATCCTCCACCTTGCGGTGCCAGCACACCGGGTTCTAGTCCCAGTCGGGGCGCCGGATTCTGTCCCGGTTGCCCCTCTTCCAGGCCAGCTCTCTGCTGTGGCCCGGGAGTGCAGTGGAGGATGGCCCAAGTGCTTGGGCCCTGCACCCCATGGAAGACCAGGATAAGTACCTGGCTTTTGCCATCGGATCAGTGTGGTGCGCCGGCCGCGGCAGCCATTGGAGGGTGAACCAACGGCAGAGGAAGACCTTTCTCTCTGTCTCTCTCTCTCACTGTCCACTCTCCAATTAAAAAAAAAAAAAAAAAGGTTAAAAAAAAAAAAAAATACCCTTGGGGAATGCAGGTAACGTTTTTTACAGAGGAGGAGCAGAGTCCTTGAGCAGGGTGGTGACTTGCCCAAAGCTACCGTAAGCGACACAGGTAGCTTTCTGCATGGGTTGACGTGACGATGGAGCCCAGAAGTGTGGTGATGGGGAAGGTGCCGGGGGTCAGGAGTTGGAGGTCTTCATGTCGGCTCTTGCTGGTCGGTGAAGTGACTTTGGACAAGTCCCTGTCCTTTCCGGACCTCAGTTTCTCCTGACCAGATCATCTCCACGGCGTTCTGTGGGCCTGACCCCCTCTTGTCTCTGAGCAGGGGTGGACGACCATCCAGTGGAGCTGAGCCTGCCAGTGCCCGCGGCAGACAGGCCCACATCCCGGACCTCCTCCACGTCTTCCGACTCCTCCACCAACCCGCGCAGCCCAAATCCAAGTGACGGCGGGGCAGACACGCCCTTGGCACAGTCCGACGAGGAAGAGGATGGAGGCGATGCGGGGGCAGAGCCTGGAACCTGCAGCTAGCACTGGGCCCGTCCGACAGACTGACTGAGCTGGCTCTGCTTCATCGGAGGTCCTGGGCCCAGCCGGAGCTCCCCGGGGGAAGAACCAGACTCTACTTGCAGTAGGCACGAGAAGGAGGGCAGGATGGCGTGGCCCTCTGAGAATTAACCCGCTCCTGCTTTTCTGCTAATCAGTTCCCGCTGCAGCCCTCCCGCCGGTTTTTGGGTTACTCTGAGGTAGGTCTTGCAAGTGAGGAGACACAAGATGACATAGGACAGGATGCCACTGCCTTTCTCAGCACTGCTCCCTCCCCCAGACTTTCCCGTAGTTTTCTCCTAGAATCTTCTAAACCAGTGTCTAATGGACGTGCACTCCTCAGTACTGTAAGTGAGGTGGCGCTCCAGCCCTCTGCCTCCTTACGTCCTTTTTGGAACAGGGCACGGTATAAATAATAAAACAAATAACAGCCTACCAAGCATCCCATTGCATTTTTCACATTGCAGAGCTGTCAGGCTCACTAGGTGTCCAGCTCTCTGTCAGTGCTCTACACCAGGACTGTATCCCGACCACGCATTTATCCCACTCTTAAAGAAATCTTGAACACTTGCGCTAGGTATCTGGAAAACAGTTCTGAGCAAAACAGGCCGCGTCCCTTGCCTTCCTGGAGTTTCCTGTCTGTGGAGGAGAAAATGAAGCGAATGCCACAGCTCACAGCGTAGTCAGTAGCATGATCGGAGCGGCTGTGGCGCCGGAGGACTTTGGAGAGTCCATGGAGAATGGGGTTAAAGGATGCTCATTCTGGTCCTAAAAGATTTTGAAGTCTCTGCGCGTATCCTGTGAACTTTTGAAGCCGCTTGGTACCAGAGGATAGGGGCATTTTAACCGAGCTCGCGTGGACATGGAAGAGCTGGTTTTTAAGTTGAGATCTGAGGGGTGGTTAGGAGGTAGCAGGTCAGAGGATGGGGAGCGAGCCAGGCAGAAAGGGCAGTTTTTGTAGACCAAGTGGAGGGAAAGGCGACACCCTCAGTGTGACTGGATTTTTGGTTGTGACGAGAAGGGAGAAGTAAGACTGACGAAGGTTAGGTTGTGAAACGCGTGAGGTCTGTATCACGTTTAATTCATCATTCTGCCTGCTAGGAGATCATGGCTCCAGAAATAAGTTTATGTCCTCCTATTAAAGAAGTCCAGCACAGGGGGCCGTATGGATGCCCCCTGGGTACTGTGCCCCGGGCTCCTTTGTGTCTGTTTTTGCTCAGCCAGACAAGATATGCGGCTGCTTTCTCACTGACACCTCATGTCGAAAACGGCTGTCAGAGGTCAGTCACCATGACCTTGAAACTGGAAGAAAGCTGAAGACGTGGGGGATGGGCGAAGAGGGCCCGGCCGGATGGCTGTTCCTACTTTTAAGTGTCTGGAAGTTCTGACCAACAGAAATGCTGGTTTTTGGAAAGATAACCCTTTTGAGTCGCTGAATTATCAGTGATCTGACTTCTGTGCCACCTGTCAGACGCCTCAGAAGCACCCTGGCCACTTCCTTTAGAAAGGCATAGCTGCTGTGTCGGGAGAACTGGGTTTTGTTGCTAAGGAACAAGGTGACATTCGTAATGGGGTAGGTAACTAGAAGCCACGTTAAGAGTTTGTATCAGAAGGAATAAAACATTACTGGTGGTTGGCTTTCTTAAAAAGCTGATTCTGGCTGTATCGCAGGGAGTGCGCTGCAGAACAGGCAAATAAGCCAGTAATCCAAGCCAGAGACGACGGTGGCTCATAGACCTGCGTGCTGATGCGCTTAATTGGGTCCAGGCAGGATACAGACAAATAAATGCCACTCTTCGTTCAGTAAATACTCAATGTTAGGACTTCGCATGTGCAAGGCTCTGATGGTCTTGTGGATGCAGTAGTGGCCAAAAAGACACATTTCCTGCTCCTGTGACGTTAATAGTCTACCAGGGCCTCAAATGTAAAAATTGTGAGCATGACTGGCACTAAAAAGGACTTGGCTTATTCAGAGAGAGCCCTCCCCCCTTTTAAAAAATTATTTATTTATAAATAAAAGGCAGAGAGAGAGAGAGAGAGAGCTCCCGTCTGCTGGTTCACTCCCCAAATGACCTCAATGGCTGAAGCTGGTTGGTCCAGACTCAGAAGTTTCTTCCCAGTCTCCCATCTGAGTGCCGGGGCCCTTGGGCCATCCTCCGCTGCTTTCTCAGGCACACTGGCAGGGAGCTGGGTTGGAAGTGGAGCAGTCGGGACTTGAACTGGCGCCCATAGGGGATGCCAGCGTTGCAGGCAACAGCTTAACCAGCTATGCCGCAACGCCGGCCCCCAGGAGATCCTATCGGTGTTCCCTGTGAGGAAGCAGCACTGGAGCTCAAGTCTGAATGATGAAACGGAGGAAATTAGGGAAAGAGCGGCTGTAAGGGCTGCTTGGTGGACACCGGAGAAGACGCCTGGAGGCTGTAAGGATTGTGGGGGTCTACGTAAGAGAGTGGACGAGGTGAGGGTGGAGGGGCTGCAGAAATGGCAAGCGACGAAGAGATTTAGGAGGCAGATTCTCAGAGATGTGACTGGTGAGTGAGAGAGGAAGGCGTCCAGGGAACCGCCATTGTTTCTGCTTGTCCGAAGGACGATCCGGAGCCTCTACTCCGATGCGAAGTTTAGGAAAGAACCAGGCGGGGAAAGAAAGTAAGGCACTGGGTTTTAGACAGAATGAGTTTCAGGTGTCTCAAGAGGACATTTTGGGTAGGCAGTTGGATCCATGAGGATGGAATTTAGGTGAGAGGATTGGGCTGGAAAAATGTCAGTGAATTGTCAGTATATTAGTTGTAAGTGAAGCATGGGTGTGAATGAGCTTGCCCAGGGAGAGAACGTTGAATGAGAGGACCCAGCCTTAAGGAACTACAACTCATTTGTCTTGTTTAAAAAAAAAAAATCATTCCATTTCCATCTGTCATGGGATCAGTGATCTTCAGCCTAAATCTCAAAGCTCTCTGTGCCGCCCAGGCTGAGCGACAGGGCTGCTGTCTTCCTTCCACTCCTGCGGGAAGCCATGGTAAGTGACTGTTCCCAAGTGCTTTTTCTAAGACTAGTGAGAAACTTACTCCAGGGAAGGAGGCGTGGCAGCCTTCCCCCATCTCCAGGAAGCCTGTGAAGTGAATACCTTTGTGCAAAAGCCTCTGAGTCCAAGTTGAGATCATCCACTAAGCTGGGCTGGGGCCAGCCCCATGTTAACCTTTGAGTGTTTTCTGACTTGCTTATGGCCACTGCACACGGCAGACTTGGTCTCCGTTCTCTTGTGCCTCCACCTTTTCCTTCCTACCACCCATTTGACTGTCTAAGCTGTTCTTGGGCTGTGACCCGTGAGCTACATAGCCCCTGCCATTCAAGGCTTCTCAGCAATTAGGATCACCCCCTTCCCTCAAGGGTTAATGATGGGACGCTCTATTGGCTGGCTTGCTGTCAGCATGCCAAAAAATCTTTTAGTACCCCAGGCACACAATGCTAAGATTGTGAGGTTTGGGACGGGGAGCCTGCCCGAGGAGACGGATCTACAGCCCTCTCAAGACGGACAATTGTTTGTGAGACTATGGGGTGACTTCAGATTGGCTACTGTGAACCCCAGCCATGTCTGGAAAAGTCTAGGGTCAGCTGAGACCACAGGACCACTTCCTGGTTGGGACAGTGATCTCTCTTCCTGCCAAACCACAAGGGCCTTGGCTGGTCCTCAGAGCCCCCATCTCCAACTGACTGTTTTTTGAGGCTACAAAGTACCCTTTGAGATGGGAGGATAATTTGGAGCCAGCTCCGAATCAAGGAGCCTAGCTTTCAGTCTCTTGACGACAGTGTGGCTGCTGTCTGTTGTAATAAAGTCACAGTGCGGCTTCTCTGTTGCATAGACTTGTCAAAGGGTAGACGTGGTGACGGACTCAAGAGGAGGGAAGATGACTAGCTCATCCTTGTAGAACCCTGTGCTCTGCAGGAAATAGAAGGGGTGGCAGCTCAAGAGGATTTATCAGAAGGCTCGTGCTGCAGGGACTCCCAGAAGTGCACAAAACTCAACACTGCATAGCAGGGCAGGGTGAGAGCAATGTCTGTGATGGGGTTGTCTTGCTCACTCATTCAAATGTTACTGAGGAGCTACCATGTGCTTACCAGTTTGCTGAGGCAACAGAACTACTAAGGTGACCAAGAGTTCTTCCAGGAGCAGCCGTGGCCACAGGTGATGGGCATACAGCATGATGAAGGCTATAGTAGAGGTGCCCAAAGAATGATGGTTCACGAGAGAGGGTGGAGGGGTAAGCCTTCGTTGGGGGTGACTGGATCTTGTATGATGAGGATAAGCAAATTCAAGGAACTTGTGAAAACAATTAAAAACCAAATGTTGACCAGCACATGCAGCAAGCAGAACTCACACATTGATATATTTTGGAGAAACATCTGACAGATTTTTTTTGTTTTGTTTTGTTTTGTTTAAATGAGGCAGAGTTACAGACAGAGGGAGAGACAGAGAGAGAGGTCTTCCATCTGCTGCTTCACTCCCCAAATGGTCTTAGAATGGCCAGAGCTGGGCCGATCAGGAGCCAGGAGCTTCTCTCAGGTCTCCCATGTGGGTGCAGGGGCCCAAGCACTTGGACCATCTCCCACTGCTTTCCCAGGCCATTAGCAGGGAGCTGGATCATAAGTGGAGCAGCTGTTGCCCATATAGGATGCCAGCACTGCAGGCTGAGGTTCAACCTACTACGCCACGGTGCCAGCCCGACACTTTCTTATAAAATTAAATACACCACCTCTTTAATCCAGCAATTCCACATGCCTATAGGATATGATAAATATGTGTCTACACTCTTAACTTGTACAGACAACACTATCATTCATAATAAGAAAACTTCAAAGAGTTCAGATGTGCATCGGCAGAATACATAAAAACAAAAAACTGCGATTACATCCAAGAACAGGAATGATTCTCCAAAACCGTCTTCCCACGAAAGAAGCCTCACACAAAAATCACGCATGTGATAATTTCATTTATAGATTTAGTTCTAGAACATTAGAGGAAAAAAATAGAACAGTGGTCATCTCTGGAAAGTGGAGGGGAGGCAGGGGTTAAATAGGAAGAGACATTAGCCAACTTTTTTGGGATTTCAGGAATGTTACATGGGTGTATGCATTTGTCAAAATTCAATGTGCACATCAGGTTCACTCATTTCACTGTATTTGAGTTTCACATCAGAAAAAAATGTAAACATGGAACCCCAGTTAATGAAATGCCTGCTTGAATTATTTTAAGATTTTATTTATTTGAGAGGTAGAGTTACATACAGTGAGAGGCAGAGACAGAGAGAGAGGTCTTCCTTCCACTGGTTCACTCCCCAAATTGCTGCAGCCAGGAGCCAAGACTTCTTCCAGGTCTCCCATGTGGGTGCAGGGGCCCAAGCACCTGGGCCATCCTCCACTGCTTTCCCAGGCCGCAGCAG